CTGCAACTGTTAAAACATATATAATGGATTTGTACTTGGTTGATCAAGAAAAAATTAAAAAAATTTTGCAAGAAGTGAAGAGTTGTATTTCATTCATCCTCAATATATGGATATCAACTTCAATAAAAATATTTTTAGTGACAACTGTATATTTTATCAGTAGTGATTGGAAAATGTATAATATAACATTAGATTTTATACAAATCGGGGGTATGAATATAGGTAAAAATATCAAAGAAAGTTTTGTATCATGCTTAGAAAAATATATGATACAAAAGAAAGTAAATTTTCTGAAGACAATTCAATCTATAAAATATCTTTTATACTTTCTTTAGTATCAACAAGGACAAGAGTTTTCTGATAAACCTAATCTATAATAAGTTTTCTACTCTTCAAATAATGTAGAAAAGAAAACTAGACTTATATTCAAATACAATATGCTCAATGTACAAATTACAAAAGGAAATCCTAAAACATTTTTTTGAATATTACAAGATCCAAAGTAAAAGATCACTTATATGAAACAAATCTCAAAGTAAAATTCTTCAGTATATCAGGAAAACAAAAGATTTATCTAACAAGAGTCAGACAGAAATTAAAAGATTAACAGAAAAATGTATCCAGAACATTAAACAATAGAGTGAAAGTCTATATAACATAGTCTATAATTTTATACATAAAGATAAAATCAAGATCCTAAAAAAGCACCTCAAAGTCCTCAAGATTTCAATAACAATAATATAAGAGGTTATTGATAAATTTTGTAAAAAAATGAAAAAGATCTTCAAGAAAAAAGTCTGAAACAAGTGCTATAGCATTACTATTGAATAGAAACAAAATCAAGGAATTACTAGTAAACTTAAAAGGCTTAGAGTATCAGCTGATATGACTAGAAAAATGGATTGAGTTTCTAAGGAAACCAATCACTTCTCTATTCTTCCCTTTAGAAATATAACAGAAGAAGAAGAAGACTCATAATGAATGAAGTTTCAAGACAATATAGTAGATATAATAAGTAGTTGGATATCCAAAGGTTTTAAATGGTTTGATTTTTAATTATAGTTGGAACTTTGGGAGATCTATAGTAATGAGCTGTAGGCAATGATTTGAGTGACTAGAGAATAATCCAAGTCACAAAGGAAGTGAAATATTATTCCCTAAGTTGCATCTAGAGAAGGTTAAACTTTGTATATGGGTGAGTCAATATGTGAAAGTCATAAAATATGTAAATACCAAATATGTTTACAATAAAATGGACAGGTCATATTGACCTAATTGTGGGAAAAAAAAAAAAAAATCTTTTTATGGGAAATTTGTTCTTTTAAAAAACTATTTTATTTGAACTCATAAATTTGCTTACAATATACTGTATTAGTTTTTAAAAACAAATAACTTGTTATAAACAGAAATTAATTTCATTGGATGATCATTAAGCATAAAGTTTCTAAGAATTGAGTTCACTTTCTTTCAAACACCATGCCGCTATCCTTCAATCCCAATAGACTTAAAGTTCAACTCAAGTTAGCCATAAATCGTCTTAAGTTGACTCAACAAAAGAAAAATTCTATGAATAAGCGTGCGCGTAAAGAAATTGCTGCATTGCTTGAAAACAATAAGGAAGAGAGTGCGAGAATACGGGTATTTTTATGAACACAATGTCATTCAAGGTACATATTTTGCCACTTTGATTCAACAATTCTATGTAGGTTGAAGGTATTATTCGAGAAGATTATTATATTGAAGCAATGGAAATGTTAGAGCTTTATTGTGAACTTTTGATGGCAAGATTTGGAGTCTTAGAACAAATGAAGTAAACATTCCGTTCGCTTCATGAAAACGTTATTCCTACATTTGATAATAATTAATATTACCTTAATACTAGGAATTGCGATTCCTCAATTAGTGAGGCAGTGAATACTCTAATTTACGCAGCACCTAGGTCCGAAATTAAAGAATTGAGTCTTGTATGTATTAAAATTAAAAAACTTTGAATCGTTATTATTTTTTTTCCTTTCAAGCACAAAGTATCTCATTCTCTCTCTTTAGGTACGTGATCAATTGATAGCGAAATTCGGAAAGGAATTTGCTATGAATGCAATTGATAACAAGAATGATTGTGTAAATGAGAAAGTATGTATAAATTTTAGGCATACATACGTATTTCCTTCAAATATTCTAACTTACATGCACATTCTTACCAACAGCTTATATCAAAACTCATGTTCAGTACTGCAGATCCATTCCTGGTTAATAGATATCTTGAAGAGATTGCAAAATCATATAATGTTAATTGGAAATTGAGTGAGGATATGGATGATTCATTAGTTTCGGTAAGCTCTGCCGTCTGATAACGTATAAGATTACGTACAATTATTAAACCATGCCATCTGAACGTTAATAGATAGGTTTATCATTCGATTCAAAAATTTCTAACAATAAATTGGAGCCATTTACTGCCTTGCCAGATATGGATTTATTGATGTCTTTAAATGATGATACCGATGGAGAGAATAATAACTCGGTAAGCGGCCCATAATGAAGACCCACCAATATCTCACAATATGAATTGACATCTTACTCATTTGTCACCGCATTTCAAACAACCATCATTGTCGTCAAAGAATAATAAACCCACACCAACGTCAGGATCTTGTCAGGGTGTTTCCAGTTTTGTACCCCCTGATAATCATGATAATAAACTCAGTAATTCGTCATCTTCACTGATCGATGATCAACCTAGCATTATTAATGGTAGTGATGTTCCACCACCTTATTCTAAAAACGATAATCAAAAGGACGATTTGCCTGATTTTGATGAATTAGTAAGAAGGCTTGAAGCACTCAAAAGAAAATAGTTTTATTATTAAAACAAACGAAACTTTTACTTTTTCATTCGTTTTATATTATATTTCAGTTAAATTCTGTTATAAATATGTAATAATAATCCTATATTGTCGTATCTATTTGAACTTGAGTTTGATTTAGATATATGAACAATTTTAGTTAATTTAAAATTTATATAAACCAGAAATTTAAAATAAAATAATTGTATTTATAGTAAAATAATTAATTTTTTGCAAAAAATTATGATTGTTATTATTATTTTAAACACTGGCAAAGCCATACTTTATTGATTTTACTAAAGTAATAAGAGAAAAAAAACAAATCTAAATATATAATTTTAAATTTCTTATTTAATAAAGTAAGCAGTAGAAGAAATCCAATGGAAACTTTTTTATTTTGTGATTAGGTCACTTCAGAAGGGCAAAAGGACTAGTATAGGAATTCACTAGCTTTGAAATAAATTTCAAATATGTAAAAAAGAAGAGTTGTATTCAAAAATCAATAGAGCTGACTTTTCAAAAGGTATATATAAAAATTGAGTCTCTTTTAACTTATTGTATTTAGTATTTTACTATTTTATTTAGCTATCAAAATTACAAATACAAAACAAATATACAAGTTTAATTAGGAAAAAAAATTTTATATAATATAAGAAACATTAAAAGAAAAAAAAATAGTTTAATTATAAATGACTTGAATATACTATATACTATTATTATTACTTCAATACTATGTATTGATACTCTTTAAAGGTTTTATTAGTTTAAAGTAAAATATTTATTTTTTTATTATATTCACCACTTCTATATTATGGTTTTTATTTATTAATTTACTGTATATCTTATTATTTTATATCTTATAAATAATATAGTAAATATTAGTAATCACAATAGATTGAATCGGATCAGATTTTAACTAGATTCGATGTGATCTGATTTTATGAATATGAATCAGATATGGATCCGATTCATTTTAAATCAATCTGATTCAATTTGAAACTATAATAGTTTGATCTGATCTGATTTGAATCTGAATTTGATTTGATTCGATCTGATCTGAATCCGAATCTGAATCTGATTCGAAATTGAATCTAATTCAGATTCGATACAAAAATAACTTGAAACTAATTTGGTATATTTTGAATTTTGGGACAATTCACAAGTTATACCTTCCATCGATAATACTGTAATACTATGCAATTCATTCTTGACCAATAATAAAGAGTATTTCCTAGAAAAAATTGTGGTAATTTTAATCATTAATAACATAAAATTTTATAAATTTGTAATGTTTAAAAAATACCTGTCATTTCAATTTTAATTCCCATTTAGCTATGTAAAAGTTGCCTCCATTAAAATTCCTTTTATTGCAAGCAAATTCTTTATTGTTAACAGATTGTATTCCTTTTAGGCAAGTAGCTACAATTACATGATCCAAAAAATTAAGATTGGTATGGATAAACTTGCTGTATCTCCAAGCTACATAGGCCTTACATA